AAAGGCATAGGCCCTAGAATAGCTAAAAGAATCTTGACTAAGAAAACTAAGCTAGGAAAAATAACTCTATCTGATAATAGTGTCCACTATGCAGCTACAGTAATAAAGACAGTGTGATATTGGTGGAAGAACAGACATACAGATCAGCAGGCCACATTTCCCCCAATGCTAACATTTTGTAAAACTATAGTATAGCCATAACCGGTTTGGCTCAGTGGATGGAGAGTCTGCCTGTGGACTGAAGGGTCCCAGGTTCGATTCCGGTCAAGGGCATGTACCTTGGTTGCGGGCACATCCCCATTAGGGGGTGTGCAGGAGGCAGCTGATCGATGTTTCTCTCTCATCGATGTTTCTAACTCTCTATCCCTCTCCCTTCCTCTCTGTAAAAGATCAATAAAATATATTTTTAAAAAATGCTAACCTTTCAAAACAAAACAAAAAAACCTATAGTTTAGTATATACTAAAGTATAAGTATATAAGTATAGTACAGCACAGAATACCACAACCAGGATTTGACAGTAATACAAGGCATTTACGTTTTTTCATATCTTCCCAATTTTACTTGTACTCTTGTGTTTGTACCTTTAATTCTATATAACTTTATCAGATATATATATCCACCATCATAGTCAAAGTATCGAATAATTACATCATCAAAAAATCTCTTATGTTGTCCTTTTATAACTACACCCACCTCCCTCCTGCATCACCCTGACCTCACCCCAACCCTAACCTCTTGTAACAACAAATTCAAAATCTTTTCATTTCAAAAATGGTATATAAATAAAATTATACAGTATGTAACATTTTGGCTTTTTTTCTCTTACTCAGCACAATTGCCTGAGCTTTATCGGAGTTGCTGTGTGTATCAAAAGTTTGTTCCTTTTTATTGCTGAGGAGTGTTTCTTATTATTGATATGCCACAATTTTTTTTAACCAGGCACCTGCTGAAGTATATTGGAGCTGATTCAAGTTTTTTGTCTATTTAAATGAAGCTGCTATGGACATTCATGTATAGGTTTCTACATGAATATAAATTTAATTTCTCTGGAATAAATGTCCATGAATGCAATTGCTGGGTCATATGGTAGTTGCATGTTTAGTTTTGTAAGAAACTGCAAAACTACTTTCCATAATCATATCCCTCATTTAACACCCTCCCCCAAGCAATAGAGAAAAACCCAGTTTCTCACATCCTTGCTGGCTCTTGTATCAGTAAGTTACTTGTATTGTAGTTGTATATTGTAATCCACTTTTTTAGATCCCCAGTGTTTTGCATAGAGCATAGCACAGACTAAGTATACCATAAATGTTTATTGCTCCCAACTATATTTATGTGAAGTTTAAAACTGGTAAGGAGAAATGGTGAGGGTGAGTGTTGGTAGCATAGATCTGGATGTGACAGACAGTAGCTTTATCATGTAGCCCTGTTCATGGACATGCTGCTGTAAGTAACCAGAAGCAGAAGGTGGGTGCATTTAAACCACTAGGTACAAAGCTGAAATGCGTAGGAAGGACCAATGCAACACTTTCAGTCATTCGCAACAGATTCTTACACTCTGTAAACAAACATAAAAAAATGAAATAATCTGAGACATGCAAGGGTGTTATAGAAAGACACTGAGGGAGAGACCAGGCAAGATGACTCCATTCTCCTATTTGATGTCCCACTTCCCCCTTTCCTCCTTTTTTCCTTCTTACTTGACCTGCTTCTTCATTTCTACCCTGTGCACCTTTTTCCACCCCAGTGTGATTTTAACCTCACTCTCTTTCACCTTCCTTCCAACTGATTTCCTTTAGTCAAACTTTCTTTTTCCTTGAACTTTCAGCTCTTCCTTTCAGAACTTACTCTCAATCTGTTTTATTAATCCGCATGAATTCATCCGAATTTAGGTCTTAGAGGGAAATATTACCAGATGAAATCCAGCTTGCTTTAGAGAACAGAAGTAGGAAGAGCTGATGAACAATTCCATTTAAAGGCCTGTCGGCTCTTGTACTCTAAACTTTTCCATGTTCCCCATGATCTTCTCTGGATACAAGATCCCTCCCAGTTACCCTCATTTTCCTTTTTTCTGCAAAGGCTTTTCTGCTTCCCCCTCACCACAGACACCGAGTGTCCTTTCACAGTGCTTATCACACGTTACTGTCTTATATCATGTTTTGTCGTATTGCACCTCTGAGATGATAAATTTTCCGGGAAGTTTCAAAAATAATTAATATGCAAAAATGTATTATGTAATGCTGGGCACAATAAATAATTACTGAAGAAATTAACTTATTAATTAACACACTATTAACTTCAGTTTCAGCAGATCTTTAAGATCATAAAATGTTTCTGCCCAAAGCATTTTCTATTAAATTTTTTAAACTTGGTGAGCACTAAGTGAATAATTAAGAGTTAATAATTAATAGTGATTCTGTGTAAACCTTAGAAGATATAGTACTTGAAGATCTTATATGGGTAAGAAGGAACCTATAGAATTAAAAAAAAAACTGTATTCAAAGAACTCTTGCAACCCTCTAACAAAGTTAACTGTTATTTATAGCAAGAAATGAAGTTCTTTCACATTTCAATTCACCAATGTGGCAAATGTAGCATTTCAGACACTTTTATTCATTTCAAATACAAGTTCTGGATAGAAAGACCAAGGTGAGGACATTATTAATTCTATTGGCATTATTCACTCATGAACATGGTTATATGTTAGGGTTTCAGTGTTTTGTTTTTGTTTTTGTACAAAACATAGAATAGACCACTGTCTATGAGGAATAGTAACATTACAATGGGAAATCAAAATGCGTTTGGGACTCAGCTTCAGCATCCTCAAGCCAGCACCACATTTTAATATCAAATGCTATAATGAAAACAGTCCTTTCTCCCATAGACATTTGTGTATCCGCTCCACGTGTTGACTAACATTGAGAACATCATTTCTCAATGTTTTCAACCATTTTCTTTCTTAAAATTTTCAAATGTTAGAAGTAAAAATAATGGCTTTCAGAGTTTCAGAACGTGTATGTGTGTGTGGTTTTCCCATAAGCTTAGGAATAAAACTAAAAATAAGAAACACAAGTCCCCGGGAGGCAAGCTAGTTTTAAAAGGAGTCAGTGAGGCTCAGATAATCGGCACGTTGTTACTAGTAGATGGGGTGTGCCCACTGGCGCAGGAGCTCACGGGGAGAGGCAGGACATTCAGGATGTTTACGAGTAAAAGTAGAAGGTGGAGAAAGTAGAACACACAAGGCCCAGTGTCCTGAGAGTCTGGCGTGAGTGCAGCCCAAAATAATTACCGCTGAAGGAGCCGATTTGTTCCAGAGTGTCCTTGTTCAAGTAGATAAATAATAAATTTTAAAATAATTATAATAAAGAAGCTCCTGTAAATACATAAATAGGCCATATGAAGCTATTTATTTATAGGACAATATCTGCATTACTTGTTTCATTATTTGTTTCCTGCTTCTATCCAACTTGGCCAGCATCATAAACAGGAATGTTAGCCACACTTGCCAGCCGCGTGGTGGAGGTGAGGATCCTGACTTAAAGCAGCCAAACAGGAATCACCGCAATTAGTAGAGAAATACGCGGGGGGTGGGGGGGGGGGATAATTAATTAACAAACAAAATAAAACCTCTCGCCAGCTGCGGGGGATGCCACAGAGTTGTTTGACTTCATCTCCTCCCCGAGAGGGAAACCAGGACTGAACTTGTCCGCAGGTGAGCGCGACTTGGCTAGCGCCCAGGTGGGTGTGCCCAGCAGCGGCTCTGCCAGGCAGTGGGGTTTGGAGCTGGAAGGTGAAAGAGGGCGGAACCAGCCTCAAACCCGGGAGATGGACCCGGCAAAGGTCAAAGTCAGTGGGATAAGAGTGCTCCCGACTTCGCTGAGCACAGGGTTTGCAGCTGGGAGAAAGTGGCCAGCCCCAAAGGCGCGGCCCCGCGGGGGCGCAACTGAAGCCAGGTCCCCAGGTCGCGCCCGTTTGCACCCTCCTTCCTCGCAGCAGGGGAGTCTCAGCTCCCCGCGGCCTCGCTCCTCCCGAACCTGGGGCGTCCAGGTCGGGCGCCCGCGACCCTTACCCAGCCAGAAGTGCAGGCGGTAGGTGAAGCCGCGGCACGCCTTGCTCGTGTGCAGCACCAGGTACGCATCCCCGACGTAGAAGTCGCCGTAAGCGCTCCGGGGCACCGGCACCAGCTCCAGCTTCTCGATCCTCCAGACCTGCAGCCCCGCCTTCTTGCCCGCCCGGGAGAACTCCGGGTGGTACAGCTCCTGGGCCATGACTGGCGAGCTACTCTCCGGAGAGGCCCCCCTGGCGCAGGACCTGTTGACCTTGAAGTTGGACTGAACCGAGAGCGGCTGGAGGGACCCAGTTCCCCAGGATTTTATAGGGTTCGCCCTGCGGGAGGCGGGGCCCCAAACGGGAGGGGCTAAGTGTCCAGGCGGCTGTTGCTCCAAAGGAGAGGATCTCTTCCCAGAAGGAGCGCAGTGCCTTCTCCACAACTCCAAGCCTTTCCCCGGGAGGAGGGAAATGGGATGAAATCCAGAGGAAGGTTATAGAAACGCCTCCTCCGAGCCAGGCAACAGATGCAGGAGATTAACTAGATGGCGCATCATTTTGAAAAAATTGGCTGTCTGGGTAACAATCATCTTAATAACCGACGCCCTCATTTCCTTGGTCACTCGCTCCATATTTGATGGCTGAAGTTGCTCTCTGTCTTGACCTTTCCAGTTCGAACATGCCTTGAAAACCAGCACGCCAGGTTTGAGAAGGATGAAAACCTGGAAGGCTGGGGTCTTACCCAGGGACAGATCTCTGTAATCCCCGGGGGTTCAAGAGCTGCGGTTAAGCTCTCGGCCTCCTTGGGTCAAGACAGTTGCTGAAAATAAGAGGTATCGTGCTCTTGGGGTGCTCTCAGGCGAGCTGTGTGTGGCTGTGACATTGTGCTGGGCCTGACTTGCCAGTTACCTGTTATCTGGCTTCAAAAATGTTTTCATTTTCCCCCTACAGTTTTTGCGTCTCCAGCACAGGCGAAGCACTGTAAAATATAGATGGAAGTTTACTATGTATTTTGCAATCATTTAACTGAAGCTGAAATGACAAAGAAGTTTACTGTTATTTCAAAAGCAAATCGCTCACCATGTAAAGAGTAAGAAAGATGATTTTTATGCATGTACATTTCCTGTTATTTCCCAAATTGCAGGTCTCTGAAAGTCACTAACAATGTATGATTCACTTATTTCCTTAGTAGTTTAATAGATATTATGTGACCACAGTAAAAAAAAAAAAATCAAAAGTACAAGATGTACAATGTTTATCTCTATTTCACCTGGCACTTTAAAAAAAATCTGGAATTTTCCTGTTTTGTGTGTGTTATCTGTTATAGGTTGCGATCCTGGTTGATAAATATCACTAGCTACATTCTCTTTTTCCCTCCTCACCCAGACAATGAAGGGCAGGTGTGTCCAGCTCCTTTTACAGATGAGGAAACTGAGGCTTTGGAACGTGTCAGAGGTCACTCGGCTGGTGAGTGGCCAAAAAGGAATTCAAGCTCTCTGTGTCTAATGCAAAAGCGCATGCTGTTTGCAAAAACTTACTCTTTCAGTCCACATTATTTGGACAAGGTTTGTTCACATAAGTACACGTGATATTTTTATTTTCTTCCAGCTTGTTCCTAGAGAGGCTTCTGATCTAGTGTGTCTAATGCAACACCAAGAAGTTTAAACTTTGTTCTGAGTCATTCATTGTATGACTTGGCTTCCTTATCTGTAAAGTGGAAATCATTTTTTTTGTTGTTGTTGTTTTCTCTAAGGAAAAAAATTATGAGAACTGGAGCTCTGGATTTAAGATAGAGTTATTAACTTAGTTCAATTTCAGTTTTAGTGATAATTCCGTTCCTTTTAGTGAAGAAATAAAAAGAAAACTTTGGTATAGGTAAGTGAAATTCCCTCTCACTTAGACAAGGTCTGAGGCAAATGCCTAGAATGCACCAAAAAAGTTCAGTAATCAAGATCAATACTATTTTGAGGTAGTATTTTAAAAATTTTAAATTAATGTGAAAAATCATGATAAAAATGTTGGGGTCCAGCCCCAACAGGTCCAGGGGTTCCCCAAAGGTGTGGACAGAGTCAGCGAAGAAGGAATGACACGGAGGCAGCGTTCAGCCAAGTTCTGGTCAGGATCTCCAGCCAAGTTCTGGTCAGGATCTCCAGCCAAGTTCTGTAGCCAGGTTCTGGTCAGGATCTCCAGCCAAATTCTGTCTAGGGGATCTCCAGCCAGGTTCTGGTTCTCCAGCCAGGTTCGGTCGCCAGGTTCTCCAGACAGGTTCTGTCGCCAGGTTCTCCTGCCATGTTCTGTCTAGGTTCTCCAGCCAAGTTCTGTAGACAGGTTCTGTCCAGGATCTTTTGCCATGTTCTCTCGCTAGGTTCTGTCTCTAGGTTCTGTATTTAGGTTCTGTTTTCTGTTGTCTTGTTACATCTGTATTTATACCAGTTGATTTTAATCCTACCAATTTCTATTCCAAAGGTTAGGGCGTTTCTTATCTCCATTCCAGGGAGTAAAGATTATGTAGCTTAAGGGTGATTGTTCTTAGTTAAAGTGATTAACTACCCACCTGGCATTTAGTTAAGGGGTTTTATTCCCTCCCTAACTTCAGGGAAAAATCCCTACCTGGGGAAACAACCTTTCTAGGAGAGGTGACCTTGGTTAAAACACATAGCGCCAAGAAGGGGAGCAAACATATTAAGAACAGTATGCCATATACGCCAGGTCCCTTGAAACATATGCTGTGCAGATGTTTCTTCCCTGCAGCAACTGTGTCAAGCAGCAAGGATGGACCGGCTCCCGGCATAAAAATACCAAATTTTCAAATAAAGGCAGTATTGTTAATAGTGCTTCACGGGACCATGTTGAAAGCTGAGGCCTTAAAGGAAAGACTGATCTCCCTTTACTTAAACTTTTGATATTTGGTTTATCATTTTGGCATTAATTTTGATATTTTAAAACATATTGCATTAAAATATTATTGATTTTAATTATTTATTTATTTATTTTGCCATCTCCCTTAAATATTGTGCCTGAGGCAAGTGCTATTGTGCCTGAGGCAAGTGCTCACTCCCATCACGCTAGCTCTTACCTGGCTAGGCAATCTCTGGATTCAAACTTGCAACAGCTACCTAATTGGTCCTGTCAAGGTCAAGTTCAGCATGCTCAAACAGTCTCATCATTCCATCCAAACATGCTTCTCCTATTCTTCCTAATTTCATTAACAACATGATTTCATTTTGACTCAGCAGCCTCATTTTATCTCCATGTTCATTCAACTAGACCAGTGGTCGGCAAACTGCAGCCCCTCGAGTGTGGCTCTTCCACAAAATACCCCGTGCGGGCGCGCACGTACAGTGCGATTGAAACTTTGTGGCCACACTCAAGGGGCCAAAGAGCCGCATGTGGCTCCCGAGCCGCAGTTTGCTGACCACTGAACTAGGGTGTCCAGAATTTTTCCCAGCTGCCCACGCTCTTGTTATTTCTCTGATTTCCATCTTCTGATTCCTATCTCCACTGCCAGTGTGCCCACCTCCCCCTTTTTTCAATCCCTTCCCCCAGTGATCTGCAGAGGATGGACCAGTGTGGTTCCCTGGGGACTGTGAAGTTGTAGCCTCCAGGTGAAGCTACCCAGGTGACTATGCTTATAATGTCTAGCCTCCCCTTTGCTCTCTTCCTACTACTAATATTAATAACCTAGCTAGTTACGACAATAACAGTAAAACCTGCTGAAAAGATGTCATTGAATAGTTGATTTTGGATTAACTTACATTAAAAAATCAAGTTATCAATCTTCTCTCAGTCTAGTTAGAAACAGCCAAGATGGATAAGTCTTTTACTAAGAGTCAGGAGGTTTGAGGTGTCAGCTTGTGGTTGAATTCATGGTAGGTGATCTTCTAGAATGTTAATGACTAAGGAGAAATGTTGTGTAGTTTAATCCTGGAAATAAATAACTAAGTTAAATAGTATAATTGATTCATTGTGCATGCAATTCATTGGGATGAGCTGTTAAACATACACACAAACACACACACACACACACACACAAAACTAGTTGGCTTCAAATAATCTTCATTCCCTAAGTCGTAGACTCTTAGAGTTGAAAAACTCTTATTTTATTTCCATCACTGCATTGTGACCACAGAGTTGTTGAAATTAAATATATGCCAAAGACAGGAAGTGGACTTTTGTCCAAGGAGAAAAAAATGCTTCCAGAGTGCTATTTGCTTTCCTTTGATGACAAATAACAAAATAATACAATTGATAATAGATTTCTTTTACTGGCAGTCCTTAAAGGGAACCAAAGTTTTGCCACCCCCAAATCTGTGCCTTTTGGGATATTGATTTTAAGCTGGTTATTAAGAAACGTAAGTCTCAGAAAGAATGTTTGACCCTCCCCCCTTTTCTGCCCAAGAGACTTGTTAGAAAAACCGTGGAAGAAATCTTAGCCTATTCACCTTGGTCTAATTTGAATTCAATATGGTGGGTGCAAGGACATCTAGCAGGGGCATGTTTACTAAGTTACCTCCCCCCCCACACTCACCCCCACACACATATCTCATTGTTTTGGGGTTGCCTAGCAAAAATTTACTTGCAGGCTCTCCCTCAATTACCTGCAAATTGCGCATTTTCACTTCTAAAATCTAAAACTACATCCCTCCTTTCTCTCCTTTGTCCAAAATGTCATATATACCCAATTTTGCCTCACTGTCTTTGGAATTTTCATGCTTATATGAATATTCTGTGCATACACATTACAAATTTGATTTTCTCCTGTTAATCTGTCTCTATTAGTTTGATTATTAGTCCAGCTAAAGAACTTAGAAAGTAGAAGGAAAAGTATTATTATTTTTTTAGCTCCCACATTCTGCTGTTAGTAACTTATGTTTGATTTACCGAATTATTTGAAGGTATAAGCACAGAAACTGGAGTCAGAAAACTTGAGTGCTTTGAGGATTAAAAGAGATCATGTATGGCAAAGCCCTGAGAACACAGCCAATACACATCAGGTTAATTAATAATCAGCAGGGATCTTAGCCCCAGTACTTATCAAAGATATGTTATGATTAAAGTGAAAATATACTCGAAGGAAGGGTATTTCATCCCTCCTCTCCAGACTAGACAAACTAAAACTTATTTTTTAATTCACCTTTTTTCTAGAAAAAAAAATATCAATCAGGATCTAGCACTTTCCCTTTCACTAGTGAGTTACTTAGAAATTACACATGCTATAACTATACCGGCAGTCATGCCTCAGTAAGTACTAAGGTGAAAGTTTTATTAGCCTTCAATGTCTGTCGTTTTGATTAATAATCTGTATTTTGTAAGCCTGCTTACTATTGTAGGTTAATTCAGCACTTTCTTCTTATATTTTTATTATATATAAAACTATTTGTTATTATTATTGTTATTATTATTATATAGGAAATAGCTAACCCCTGTAAGATTATTGAGAGAGGACATCATTATCAATTTGGGAGATTACATATTAGAGAATGCTTATGACTAAAAGAAAGATTGAGAATCCAAGGTCTCATGAAGATTTATGATTTTAAAATGATAATTTTTGCTTTAAGCTTACATTTATGTGAATAGAGATCTGAAGATAATTGTAGTTTTAAAATGTAAAATTGAGCTAAAGTTGCTTGAGATTATAACAGCTTTTGTTGCTCTGATTTTTATAAATGTGTCTATTTATTAATAATTACAATTAACATGTGTTTCAGTTTTGTTTGTAGCCCTGAGTTTACCAGCTTGTGAGAAATAACTTCATATTTTCAAGGAATATTTCAACAATTACTTAGCATAGACATGATCAGATCATCATTTTGTTGTGCAGGTACTTACAAAAATAAAGGTCATTAGTTCACCTAAACCAAAAATAGCAGATTGTTTAGAAAAGTCAAGATTTCCTTCCCACTGACCAGAAATCACTTCCTTCAGCTAATTCTCTTCTTGATTCAACATCTCTTAATATGAGTTTAAATTAGGCAACTTGACTGGTATTCCTTTCACTCTTAGCTTCCCCTAATCTTGATATTTTGAGACTTCCCTGAAATAATAGGTTTCTATGGACTATTCAAATTTATTGGAAGGATTGCTGAAAATATTTTATTTTATATATTTCAGAGAACTCTATATTCTGCATCTGACAAAACTAGGAAAAAGTTTTGTCTTTATCTAATGGCACAATAATAAATTTTAGCAATAACATATCAAATGGAAAACATTTAGAACATGCATGTCAAACTTGCGGCCCACGAGCCATATGCCTTGTTTATTTGGCCCATGTTAGCCTTTGAGTTTGACATGCTTGATTTAGAAGGATTTTATCTGATTGGAAAAATATAGGAAAAAACAATAGGAACCCCAATATCTCATTACTGTTCAACAGGGTACAGAAAGTCTTGGACAATACAATAAGATCAGAAAAATAATAAAAGCTATTAACAATTACTAGGAAAAAATAAGAACTCATTAAT